CAATCAGAAAAGATATATTCATAGCAGCACAATTTACAGTAGCTAAAATTTGGGAATAGCCTAAGTGCCCATCAGCAGATGAAGGGATTAGAAAACTGTGGTATACAGTGGAATACTACACTGCTGTAAAAAATAAGGAATTCTTACCATTTGCAACAGTGTGGATGGAATTGGAGAGCATTATGCTGAGGGAAATAAGCCAGTCAGAGAAAGATAAATATCACATGATCTCACTCATTTGTGGAATATAATGAACAACATAAACTGATGAACAAAAATAGAATCAGAGTCATAGAAACATCGAACAGACTTTCCAACCTATGAGGGAAGGCAGGGAGTCAGGGGTAAGAGATCAACCAAAGAACTTGTATGCATGCAGATGAGCATAACCAATGGACACAGACTGGGGTGTGGGGGGGTGAGTGCATGTGCTGGAGGGTGGGGGCAGTCGGGGAGAGGTCAATGGGGTAAAAAGGAGACTTATGTAATACTTTAAACCATAAAGAACTTAAATTTAAAAGAGATAATAAAAACACATGACTGCTGCCAAAGATTATTTTTTCAAGACATAAAAAGATAATAACTTCACAACTGATTATACTATCTTGTCTTCCCACTAAGAAGAACCTAACTAAACAAAGGAGCTAACAAGGAGCCTTGGCTGGTGTGGCTCAGTTGGTTGGAGTGTTGGCCTGTGCAACCAAAGGTCTCGGATTGGATTCCAGGTTAGGGCACGTACTCGGTTTTGGGTTCAGTCTCCAGTCAGGGTGCATACAGGAAGCAACCGATTGATGTTTCTCTCTAAAATCAAACATATCCTCGGTGAGGATTAAATAAAAAAAGAGTACTAATAAGGCAAGTTATTAACTTGGTTATCTTCTTTTAATCTTCCCTTCCCTGACCCCACAGAAAGGTCTATGTTTTTCCATCGTTTAAGTCCTTATCCCTAATATAGCACCTCCAGAGCTGATATCAGACTGGCTCAGCTCAAAGGTCAACTGTGCTTCCGACTCTCTGTGTAATCTTCTTTTTTAAAATAAATATATTTTATTGACTTTTTACAGAGAGGAAGGGAGAGGAATAGAGAATTAGAAAAATCGATCAGCTGCCTCCTGCACACCCCCTACTGGGGATGTGCCCGCAACCAAGGTACATGCCCTTGGCCGGAATCGAACCTGGGACCTTTCAGTCCGCAGGCCGATGCTCTACTATCCCCTGAACCAAACCGGTTAGGGCTCTGTGTAATCTTCTTAACCTCTCTGTGCTTTCATTTATTCAATAGTATAAGCCCAGGATGTAGGGACTAATGAAATGATACATTTAAATTAGCACAAATCTGGTACAGAATATAAGCTATAACTATTATTTACTATTACCATTTGACCGAGTTGATTAAAAAGAAAGAAAACAGCTCTTATGAGTCTTAATGGCTCAAGTGCATAGTCAATGTTCATGAAATGTTTGGAAACTGGGTCATGAATTCAAGCTTCAGAAGACACACTGAGAAAGAGTGGAGCTTTGGAGTGGTGTGACACCTCTGCCTGCTCATGTCTCAGGGTTGGCGCCCACAGCGTCAGCTGCCCTTGTGACATTTTGATGGGACAACCCAGAGGTGGAACTGACATAGTTTCTGTACTTTTAGCAAACAGTTTTGGAGTCCTAACTCTGGTGCCAGGAATGTGGCGAGGCAATAAGGAAGCAGTAGTGGCAGGTCACATCCTCTAGTCCTAGAGGCTGTCCTCAGGCCCTGACTTGTCACATCTCATGTACAGTCTAGCTCCTTAAACTATTTATAGGTCATTAAATTCCATAGCTTAGTGCTGCTATCCTCTCTTCTCAAAAGAAATCTAAGTGCTACTTTTCCAAATATATAGCAGTTTCCTCTAAAAGTCATGCACCTCATAATTACAACTCTAGTACATATAAATATTATTATACAACCAGTGTACCAATGCCTTACATCCTGACGTTTATTATGTACTCAAATGTATAATAAATACTTAAACTTTAAATTACTTGCCAGTTAGGATGACAGGACTAATATAAAATATGTATATATTTTCCACACTAAAATATTAATTATGTTAATAAGGATTGTTGTATTTTGAAGTTAGCATTACTAAGATCATTCTGCTGCCTATAAATCAATGCATGAGGTTCTATAAAATTGATTTTAGTGTGATAGGCTGTAAAATGCTAACTTAATTTATTATAACATTTGTGGAATCACTAAAAGTGTTAGGTATAAAAATAATTAAATAAGGTTGAGGAGTATTAGAAGTAAATGAAAATAATAATGCTTTTTGAAAGGATGGTTAAAAAAATTCAAAGTGGCATATTAAACAGTCATTTATAACAATGAATTTTATAAAAAGCTAACTGGAAGAATAATATGAAGATATCCAGAAAACTTTATAAGTGAAAAAAGGCAAAAAAAGGTGGGCAATTAGTATACATTCTTAGGATATAAAAATACAAAAAATGTAATGGATACTAACATCATTTAGTAAGTACTGTGTTTAAGATTTAAAGCAACTAAATCATAATCATCCATATTACAAAATTATATTTCTGGAGAAATAACAATTGAAGAATTTTGAAATCTAATATTGACCTACCCAAACTTGGGCACATCAACTCAGTTTTTCAACAGAATGGAAATTTGCCATCAATAGGCCAGAAATGGACTATATTCAGAGAAACAAAAGGCCTCTAAAGTATTGATATTTCAGAATCTAACAAAATCTGCTATCATTATTATTTTCTCCATTTTTTTTTGGTTAGTGATCAGCCATTCTAACTTTATCAACATTCCAGACAGGACAAATTCAAAGAATGAGAGCAATTCCCTAATTGCTATTTTAATGACAGACATAATGCAGTTCAATAATCTCATTTACTGGTAAATTATCTCAGGTCCAGAGAGGTTAAAGCAACTTATTCAAAGCCATCCTTGTTCTAGTTAAAGGCAGAGATGAAACCAAGTCTCCCAAATACCCAGAAAAGACGCACATATTAATAATATTATAAAAATTACTACGTACTGATGGACTGAAGATGACATTAAATTTCTTTGACCTTTCACCACATGTTAAGCAGGCAGGAAATCCCATTTGGAAAACATGACAGCTTTCTTAGTGGAACCTTGGTTAATTTTGCCAGCCAGCATTACTGCTAGCACGGCCCATGTGCCATTCCTCACAGTATCTCAGGGAGGCCAGAGGAAAATTGCCACTGGGGGCTTAGGCAAGGGGACAAAGGCTCTCTTTCTGAAATTTCCATTCAAATGCTTAGACTTTAAAGTTGGAAGCAGCCTGGTTCCCTTGCCTTGCTAAAGTCACATTATACCACCAAAAACAATACCCTGGGGAGTAATAAACTTATGTGACCTTTCCTCTCTGTTACTTTCCTCTGTTACTCCATTTCTCTTTCTCTACCGGTCACATTGAATATTCTTTTTGAACCGCTTTGCTGTGAATGTCTAGGAAACAGCACAGTTAGCCTTCCACATGGTATGAATAATAAGAAACCCCTCCCCAGAGGAAAACGAGAGGTTCACTGAGCGAAGTTTTCAGTGGGGCCCCTGTGCTGAGGCCCTCCAGGACATAAGGCATCTTACGAATTTCCTTCATGCTATAAAACCACACTCTGGACATTAATTTCCAAGCCAAATGACAAACCTCTGCCTGGTGCCCATATTTTCCCTCTATCTTACTTTAAGACGAAAAAGGACAATAATTCGGAAGAAAGGTTATTTTTAAAAGGAAGAAAGAGTTGTCTGAAGGTTTTCAAGGAAGGAACCTCAGATTTTACAGGACGTGCAATTTAATCTACAGCGCCCAGAAATGCCCCAGAAATCCCTTCCAGTTGGCCGGGCTCCTGGACCTGGGAGACAGGGGTTCATACCGGTTCCTCATGGGAACTTGTAGCAATTTTCTGGGCAGGAAATCAGTCAAATCTGATGAAACCGGGCGCGGGAAAAGACCAGCCTCAGCCCCAAATCCCATGGAGCTGGGTCAAGTGCGGACATCAGTGGTGGGACCCTGGGGAGCCGGTCCAAGAAGGGGTGGGGGCGCGCGCCTCTCCGGAATGCGGGGTCGTGCCTGGGACCCAGGGGCTCGGTGACGGGACAGCCCAGGGACCAGGCTGCAGCTCCCAGCGCTCCCAGGCCGGCTGGCACCGCTTACCTCGAAGGCTGTACGGGGACCTGGCGGGGGTGCGGGCAGGGCAGGGGTCGGCCTCGGGACACCGGAGGGGAATGCGACGAACTGCACTAGGCTGCACCGGGCTCAGGTCCGCTGCCTCAGGGAGGAAGTGGTGTCAGCCCTGCCCTTCCCCCCGCGGCGCGCAGACGTGGGGAGCTTGCCGCTGCTTTGCATGAGGTGCAAGGGGGGCGCACGGATGGAGCACGACTGTGAAAAGTCGGGGCTGATCTGTCCTCACTGCATGTGTACCTCATTTCCTCTTACTTCCCCCCTCTACACGGCAGCCTTGATAACCCTGAGGAAAAGAGGTGTTGTTTTGTTTGTTGTTTTTAAATTCTGGTAAAGTTGTGCCTTCCTGGCTCATCCCTCCCTTACTGGCGCCAAGCGCCCCCTTTTCTAAGGAGTGTCCCCTGGCGAACTGACCCTTCTTTGTCGCCTCCGTATATTAGTGGAAACTGGCAAAGGGATTTGGGGCCAGAAGACAGTTGGATAGAAGCCCAAGAACCCGATTTCTTTCAAAACTGTCTTTCTAAGTGTTTACTTCAGTGCTCTCTGTGCTTCCTCTTTCGGGCCAGTTGTGCAAAGGCCTCTTCCTGGCTGTGCGCATTCCGCCCCCAGGGCACGCAGCTCTCGCCGCAGTGCAGAGGGACCCGCGCGTTCCACCAGGCAGGCTGCTCCTTGAGTTCCGCTGACTTTGTGGGAACCCAGAGTGGGTGGAGGGATTGCAGTAGGGGTGGGGACAGGCACAATAGGCAAAGGCCATTACTTTAGGATCAGATCGACAACCTTCTCACCCCCAAAGCTTAACCACATTCAGATGGCAGGTGAGGCTGTAGCCTCTCACACATTGCTGGTGAAATCCAAAATGGTAATGGCGTGAACCCTAGAGATAGGGGTGTGGGGGTGGAGTGGGGGTGGGTATGGTATTAGGTAATAGCTATTTAATTTACATATGGAATTACCCTTTGACCCAGAGATCACACTTCTAAGAATGTATTACAAAGAATCAATGATGAAGAGAAGTATGCATATGCACAGGACCTCCCATTATTAACAGCCTAGGACTGACTGGAATAACGCCAGTGGCCTTGGGGAGCGGAGTCTCCTGAGAGAATGTGGGGAGATTTGAAAATACAGAAGTTAAAATCCATTATGATTTGTAAATAGGGTTGTATGACCCTCCTCTTCCCCTACACAGCTGTCTTCAAGTATTTCCATGTGGAGAGGTGGTGGAGACATAAAGATATAAATTAGACATATAAGTTAGGTAATTTCATAGGCCAGTCATTTAGTTAATGAGAAACTATTAAGCACCTACTCTTCTAAGAGCAATGAAAATAAATAGTACCGAAAATAACTACCTTTCTCATGGATGGTACATTCTAGTTGGGAGAAAGTAGACAGTAAACAAATATTTAACAGGTCAAGTGTAAATGAAAAAGTGGCCACATACGAAACCTGACAAGCCGGGGTGGGGGGGTGGGGGGTGCATGGCAGGCCTTACAAACTCAGAGACCTAAGGTAACCACACAGTGTTATCAGTGGAAGAGGGAAATCCACCAGTGGAAGTGGGTATCCCCTGCCTAGCAAGAGAGAGAACTCCTTTGTTTGGGAAGTAAGTTACTCAAATCTTCTCCACTTGTGATGGCCACACCTACTCTCTAGCCAATGACCTGTTCCCAGGTGTTACTGACAGTCAAGCACCTTCCCTATTTCAGGGAGACTTGACTGGGCATGTGTCTATTCCTCCCCTGTCCAGTCCCTTCCTCCTGCGTCTGCAGGGAATAGCCCTGGGGAGTGTTAAATTGCAGTTTCCTGGCAAAGCTGCACAAATGACATGCCTATAAAATGTGTCCTTCCCCTTGCTCCTCTCCAGTTACTTTAACTGGGTTTATTACAGCAGTATCACTGATGCAAAAAGAAGCTGTCCATTTATGGACGAGAACAGAAAACCTCAAAACCAAAAATATAACCTGAGATTTTAATGCACAGTAAAGAGACATTTTAAACTAGGTGGGAAAAGGTGGTTTGTACAGGTTAACACCATGCTCCAAAATAAATCTTGGATTGATTAAACATTTATTTGGAAGAAATAAAAAGTGAGTGTAAGAGGTGGGCCAAAGGGGAGATTAAGAGGCATGTGGAAAGAGGTTTTATTTCATCTGGAGAACAGGCACTGGTTTCCCACAAATTTGCACTTGCAGACACATACTGCCACAATCTCTGACACCATGAAAACATCCTTCTGTTCTTGCATCCCCGACCACCCCTGGAGGTTGGCTGGGGCCCAGAGGGATGTGGAACAGACATAAACTAGGGCACTGGGAGATTTAGAGATGTTTTTAAGGGGAGTGTCCTGGGGGACCGGACCTTGAGCACCCTGAAGTTCCACACCACTCTAGCCCTGGTCGGAGGCAAAGACTGCTTTTTCACTGGGCAAGTAACCTTTGTAAGCATCTGGAAACACTTGGCCAATTCCCAGGGATGTTTGAACAGAACGCACACCTGCCCACAGGCAGTTCCTGAGATTTGAGCGGCTTGGGCCTTGGGCATGGGCTCTGTGCACATGGGCAGTTATGTTAGAGGCTGTTGCTGTGATTCTGAGCTGGGAGATTCCAAACTGCCAAACTGCCAAACTGCCAAACTGCCAAACGGCTCTGCTTGAATGCTGTGGCCTGAGGTGGTTGGCTAGAGAGCCAGTTTTGGACTCAGGATGTGTGACAAGCGGAGAGAAAGTAAAGCTTCTCCAAAGCCTGGACTCTTCGCCAAGAAGAAGATGGATTTTTTTTGGAAGAGTGTCGGTGGGGCCCTGGTCTCCCCTGCCAGTGGGACCATGGTCTCCCCTGCCAGTGGGACCATGGTCTCCCCTGCCAGCAGGGCCAAGGTCTCCCCTGCCAGCGGGGCCAAGGTCTCCGCTACCAGTGGGGACCAGGTCTCACTTACCATTGGGGCCACGGTGTCGCCTCCCTGGGGGGACACGGTGTCCCCTCCCTGGGGGGCCAAGGTCGTCCCTATCAGCGGGGCCAAGGCCTCTTCTACCAGCGGGACCAAGGTCTCCGCTACCAGCGGGGCCAAGGTTTCCCCTACCAGCGGGACCAAGGTCTCCACTACCAGTGGGGCCAAGGCCTCCCCTACCAGCGGGGCCAAGGCCTCCCCTCCCAGCGGGGCCCAGGTCTCACTTACCATTGGGGCCAAGGCCTCCCCTACCAGCGGGACCAAGGCCTCCCCTACCAGCAGGACCAAGGCCTCCCCTACGGCGAGGACCAAGGCCTCCCCTACCAGCGGGACCAAGGCCTCCCCTACCAGCGGGACCAAGGTCTCCGCTACCAGTGGGGCCCAGGTCTCACTTACCATTGGAGACAAGGCCTCCCCTACCAGCGGGGCCATGATCTCCTCTACCAGCCAGTGGAGCAGTGGCATAGGAGCCAGAAGGCCTGACTTTGACAGAAATGATATGAATGCGATCCACAAAGCTGCCAGAGATGACAACCACTGGAGAGTGCAGCAAATCTTCTTTTTCAACATAAGTGATGTGAATGAAAGAGATAAAAAGCGCAGGTAATAGGGACTGCAAGGCTGGGGGCCTGGGGTCCACTGGGAGGTAGCGGTTGGGTCTGGGAGAGGCGCTCCCTTGCCTGGCTCAGCAGCTGGAGAGCAGCCTCCTGTCAGCGAGGGCCCTGGCCTGACTTCCCTCCCGGGCCCCGCAGCTCCTCCCTGGTGGACACCTGACCTGGGGTCTAGTGCTCAGACCAACTTTATGAGCAAAGACAAAAACATAAAGACCTATTCATTATTCTCTTACAGAACACTTTACTGATGTCTTTTAAGTGATTTAACTACATATCAATAATAGACATGAAATTAAGAATATACAGCATTGCTTTTATATGTGATGTACACATTTTTATACCATAATGTTACATATTACAGAAAATTGCATAATGAGAGAGATAATTCCCATTGTAGATCAATTTCTGGGATAAAAGTTCTTTGGATAAAATCCAATAACCACTTATATCAGTGTGCACCTATGTTCTTTATTAAAAAAAACACTTTTATTGATTTGAGAGAGAGAGAGAGAGAGAGACGTCAATGTTGAGAGAGAATCATTCATCGGCTGCCTCCTGCATGCCCACATTGGGGATCGAGCCCACTACCCAGACATGTGCCCTGTCCTGAATCAAACCGTGACCTCCTGGTTTATAGGTTGACGCTCACCTACCGAGCTACATCAGGGCTCACCTATGTTCTTTATTGCGGGGCCTCAGAAGGAATTTGAAGTGGGAAGACGGCTGTGGTCCTGATTAGGAAGATTCCATTTCTGAAAATGTGTGCTCTCCCTATGTGTGTCAATTTTACAACCAAATTAATATGGTTTAAATTTTTTTAATTGCATGTTTTATCATTGTGATGAGATTTAAAAAATTTTTTGTATAGTAGGCACAGGTTTACCTTCTATATATCAATATATGCTATATATTTCTACAAAGTAGTTTATTCCTAGTACCTGAAAAGACAGATAAATGATTGGAACAGAACGAAAAATGCCCAAGCACCCAAATATATGTAAGACTTTACAACTTGATGCTGGTGACATTTCATGTTTGTAGGAAAAGGTCAATGACAAATGGTGAAGAAGTATCTGTTGAGTATTTGGAGAAAACTAGCTAGATTTTTATCACCTCCAAATAAATTCCAGATTAAAAAATTTAGATATACAAAATGAGAAACGTACCAGAAGAAAACACAAATACCTACTTATACTTTCCTTTTATGATTACAAGCACTTCAAAAGCAAGATTTCTCGAGGTTGATTGAGCAATATAAAAAATAATACTAGAAGGGTAAGAGAAAGCAGGTATCTGGGTTTGTTTAGCTTCTATAATTGAAACATTGTTGCCATCCCTGCCACTCTAAGCTCTGAGGCGGAAGCTGGCTGAAAGCAGGTATCTGGAGCTTGTTTAGCTTCTATAATTGCAACATTGTTTCTTAGAGTGCAGCTCAGAGGCCGCAGCGGCAGGCGGGGAACGTTGGCTTCCTCCATCACTGGAGCAAGCAAGCCTCCTGTTCGTTTCAGCTGCTTGGTTGCCTGCCACCATCTTGGTTGGCAGTTAATTTGCATATCACCCTGAGTAGCCAATGGGAAGCATGTTAGAGGTATGGTTAATTACCATGTTTGTCTATTATTAGATAGGATCCCCTATACCCATCAATTCTATTTATACTAAAATATCTT